AGCTGAAGGCACCAGATGCTGGACATCTGTTAGCAGCAACTGTGAGAGCTTGGTGCTGTGTGACACCAAGGGCTTGGCATGGTGTGGGAAACATAGGATATAGCAGGAAGGAGTTACTGCCAAAGGAGTTTCTGCTGTTGGAAGGAGTAGTGCAAATGTTCAATGAGTACTGCCTTTAATTTTCCTTTTATGCCTCAAATGTGTGGTTTGCATTTTGAAGTATTCAGCAGCTATAAATGTGCAGGTCCTATCCAGATTAATTGCTGCAGTTTAACTGTGTCAAGAATGTTCTGGTTTTCATGTGGGTTTTTTCAGCTTTCATCTATGTAAGCAATAATTTTGCTTTTAGGACTTGCAGTTCAGTTTGGATTAAAAAGAGAGTCAGTAAGTGACTTGGAGTTACCCTTCACTTCTTATACCTTTTCTAACTGACTCTGGGATTTGTTTGGCTTGTTCCTCCAAGGCACCTTTTGACTGGTGCACCAAATTCTTTCTAAGACCAGTTTTGTCCAGACAGTCTGGCAGGCCCTGAGACCCTCCACGCTGTCAAAGCTCTCAGTGGGCCTTGGGTGCTGGCTAACTGGTGTTTGAAGAGGTGTTGGTACTGGGAATACACATCACCTCCATGTTCTCCTGTGATCCCAAGGGAGAACCACTCCGATGGGGTCTCCCCTTGGCTTCTGACAGTAGGCAAACTAAGCCAGAGGAGGGTGGAAGGAAGAATGATTATGGTGATGTTGTAGAGAGAGATCCTCTCAGTCCTGAGTTTCTCACTGACAGTGCCATTCTGCTTTACATCTTTGCTGCAGTGTGAATCCTACATCTGATGTTTCCTTTTCAGAGTCAGGCTATACAGGGCTTGACTGAGTGAATTTTAGGAATATTTTCACAAGATGTGGAAGAGTTGTCCTTCTAACCAGTACTAAGGCAATCCATGCTAAAAAGCTGTACAGCCCCATGATCCTGCTCATGCAGTGAGAGGACTATTAGAAATGTGAAGATACAGATATGTAAACGTGGCTGTTTAATGGTTGCTTAAATGGGATAAAAGCAGCTTTTCCTATCAGTAAGGCAGGGTTATTAGTACAGGAAGAAAACATCTAGTGGCCAGGGACAGAGCATGAACCTTTGGACATTTGGAACTCTCTTGCAGCCTTTGCTGAGATGCATCCTCAAGGTGCCCAGTTTATGCTAGCTGAGTCCTGCTGCTGCAGAGCAGCTTCCTGGTTTTATCCCTATGGGCTGTTCACTTTCTTTTTCTTTGAGTCCAGTCTGAAATTCACTGTGCTGCTCATCTTCAGATCACAATGGCAGTGTTATAATGTTATTTTTTTATGTATAGCTATAAATATCTAATTATATGGTGTTTTGTATGGCTTATATACCCCCCTGAAGCTGGTCTCAACTGGGTGTAAATTGGACATTTTCATTAACACTTCTCATCAGGGTTGCAAGAGCACTCCAGACATCTTAGAGAAGGTTTGGACTTTGAGGTTCTGAAGTGAAGGGACAGGGTGTCTGTCTGTGTGCATAAGCCTAAGTATGGGAAGATCTCACAATGCTTAGGTTTTCATCTCTGTAAGTAGTGTAAGTACACATACAGACACCGCTGGCTTTGACTGCTGCACACAAAAATATTCAGTGCATCAGTCAGACCCATACAGACATATTCCTTTGATGATTTGCTTTCCACATTCTGTTGTTGCTGTGATTATTTTGTCAGACTTTTGATTTAACAACTTGTAGTCAGAATTTCAGCAGCTTTTCCAGCTCTCACACTGCAGGTACACCTCTTCTCCTGCCATACATTCTTGTGTTTCCACCTGACTTGTGCTTCACGCTCTCTTCCATATTATTTGAAGATGTAGTTCCATATTATGAAGTGTCTTTGACAGATAACATTATTAGCAGTAACTACTCAAGTAAGATCAGCATTTTCCCTATGAAAATTGTCTCAGGATTTCTCAGTTGCAGAGTGTTGTGATCAGGATGGCAGAGCTGTACTCTGCTATACAGTACTACATTCTGCAGCAAGAATTCTTGCTGTTAAGCTGTGTGCTTTTTAAAGCTGGAGACCAGAAATGGCACTTCTAGTGACAATTGTTTTCCCATTCTGTCATGCTCATCTCTGACCCTACAGCCAAGTTTTGAGTGCCTAGATTTCTCTAGCAAAGTTTATACAGCTGACAGAATATGGGAGCTTAAAAGTGTGTGTTTTGTTCTTTCCATGTTTGAAGAGCTGCATTGCTGCTTTATTTATCAAAACAGAGAGGAAGAAAACACAGTGGAACATTAAGGAAAAGTCCCTTCTGTGTCTGTATATTAGGAAATAGATTGCCCAAACAGTGCTAGGGATGAAGGGCATAGTGTGTTGTCGTTGGCTTTTCCAGGCCCAGCAATGCCCTGCTTTGGGAAAGGTCTGGAGAGGGTGGGAACAGGCACAGTTCCTCAGTGTGGCATCTGCTGTGCTCATGCACTGCCTCCAAGACTGACCCACTCTGGCTTTTTAAAAAAACTGCTTTTTAGGCTCTCTCTCTCTTTCTAAGCAGTTGATTAGTAATGGGCACAATTAGTGTTTGCAGTTGTCCTCATTGACATATTTTCCTGATTTGGGGTTTTTCCCCCCCCCCTCTGTTTCTTCCACATGGCTGGTGGATCAGTGGATTTGGTGCACTCTCCTGAGTATTCTTTTCAAAGTACTTAGACTTGCCAGACATCATAAATTGGGACTAATGGCTCATTTCATACCCCAAGGCAGTTCAACCTGTCAAAGGCCCTGACTTTTTGGGAAGGTAAAGAAAGGAGCACAGCTAGCTCTTGGTTGTGTGGAAAAGGAGCCCTTTTTGTGCTGGGTTTCAGCACTTTGTAATACAAAGCTGAGGCATTCCTAAACACTCTTCCTAAGCATTTATGTCAAAGACTGAGCTGTGGCTTATAGCTCAGATCTGTCCTGCCTCACATTTCTTAGAGACTGTGGAAGAGCCCTTGACCCATTGGTGCAGCTAGGTACAGAAGAGGAGCAGAAGTCTCATCAGTCCCCATTGCTCAGTGTTCCTCTAACAGCTCTCTCGGTGGCTGTATTTGTGGTGAAAAGAAATACTTTTTCATTTGTTTGTTTCTTGGGTAGGATTGCTTCATTCTCCTTAGCTCGCTGAGAGACTTACACAGGTACAAGAAAATTGCTAGTTTAGTTGAAGACCTTCACCATCACAATCCATGGCCAGCATGTCTTCAGATGTCAGAAAGGTCTCTGAATTGCCTTGCTTAGCAGAAATGGCATGCACTGTTACACCATCCCTTCCCTGCTGCTTTAGTTCTGGGGTGTGTTCACCTTTGGTTTCACTGGTGACTGGGTTGGACCTTCACAGAACTGCTGATAGTTTGTGGAGCTCAAAAGACATGTTATGGACAGCTCAGAGACCTTTGGCACCTCCTGCAGTGCAAATAACAACAAAAACTGCTAATTGGTGGCCTGGGATGGTGGGAAGGGTCAGTACACAGTCATAAGAGTTCAGCTGTGCAACTTTGGGTTCAAAGGGAAAACACCAGGAAGGGCAAATGAAGGGAATGGGGATTGTTTGAATTGCTTAATCCTGGACACACAGGATTGCATTTACAAATTCATTCCCCATATATACTGTTGTCCTTTTGTAAGCTGATCAGTTCTCTAAATAGGTTTTCCATAACAAGATGCCTGTCTGTAGAAAAGCAGCATATGAAATCCCTGATTCTAGGTTGTTTCAAATGTGGGCTTCAAAAGCTGAGAACACACCCCTGTAATTAGTGGTATGTATGCTTTTCCCCAAGGATTAACGAACAGCTCTTTGCTAAGCAATACAATTAGTCAAGCAAAGATGAGATCTGCCATGTTGTCTTGTCATCACTGTCTTTTTACTAAATGAAGTGTTTGTATAGTTACATCTGATAATATTTTTAGGCTATTTAGGATAATAGTTTTTTTACTTTAATGGCAAGTCTTGTTTACACATGAAACCTTACTGACTTTGAGGAAGGTCTTCTCATTGGAACACAGAAGTACATTATTTTTTTCCATGTTGTCTGCTTCCTTTGTCCAGTGCAGCACTGATACAGGGACTTCAGGAATTAAGTGTTTACATAGTAAAATTAAAAGTATATCTGTCAAAGATGTTGAAAGGCAAAGCTGAATTTAGCAGAATTGCTCACTCCATACATGTGTGAAGTATAATTCAATGTTGCCTTCAGTTTAGCTGAAGTGTTTCAGTGTGGAAGAGGCTGAAGCCCAAGAGAATGTGAAGAAAATGGTTGTCAGTATTTCCTGCCTGAAGTATTCACATTTTACTTTTTAGCTCCTAGAACTATTGTCCTGTAACTAAAGAAGCTTTTGGGTTTGGGAGGGGAGCATACAAACAAACTTGGGCTCTTGACAGACTGGTCACTAGAACTTTACTGTTCTCCTACACTGAAAAAAATCTAAAGAAATGATGAAATTGTTTGGAAAGTACTTTCAGAGGTGGCATATCTATGTTTTGGGTGGCATGTGTTAGCTGATTTGCAGCTCCATTTGTGCTTGGGTGCAGCAATTAAAAACCCCAAACAAGCCCCACTATTTTTTGGACCAGGTATCCATAATGACTCTCAAAATACATCACTGTGCTGAACTTCCTTTGAACATATTTACTAGAAAATTCATGGAAAGAAACTTCCTATAAACCTGGGAAAAGCAAACTGTACAAGAACTCTCAAAAAACTCAGGATTTGGCATGGGTTGTGCTTCCAGAGTGAAACAACTGTGTGACATCTTTCTGGTACTTCTGTGTCCAGTCGATGCCAAACAATATAAATTTGTGGGACATGAAAACAAAGCAGTTGGGGGTGGGGTAGGGGCTTAATGATTAGTTTCTGGATTAATGTATGGATTAGTTGATTTGTTTAATTGAGTTCTTCTGTCCCTAATTTGCACGGGTATGATTTACTCTCAGGTGTGGAATAATGCAGTTGGGTTCTTTGTTCCATTGAAGGGGGAGAGGACCACTCAAGCACACATCCGACGTGATCAACGCGGCCAAAATGATCTCTGAGTCAGGCTCAAGGATGGACGTCCTGGCACGGCTGATTGCTGATCAGGTGGGGTGTTCAGTGTGTGAAACTTGGGCCCAGCTCCACCCACAGATCCTCTGACACCTAAGAAGGTCACTTTCAAAAGTGCTCATGACATTTTGGGATCTACCTGGCTGATTTCCCTTCTGTTCTCCATTTCTGAAGTGGTGGAGACATAGATCCTGTTTTAATGTGTGTGTGGATTCTCTTCTTCATGCATGTCACTGTGTTAGAGCTGGAAGGTATACTTTACTTTATTTCCACTGGATTTTTAAAGCATCAGATGGCTTCAAACCACCCCCCCAAGAATCCCCCACCAGGCCACAGGTATCTCAGAAGTGTGGCTGAGAGCAGTGGTGGTAACTGAGTAACTGGACACACCTGCAGCCTCTCCACGAGGCTGGGCTGGTTGTTTTAGGGCCAGAAAGCACCAGGAAAATAGCCTAGGGAAATGGCACAACATCTAAAGCATTTCTGCTCCTTTGTGACTGCCTTTCAGGTCTGGGGTAGCACACGATAGTCACTGTTTCCATACCCTCAGGTACTCTCTCTTCCCTTCACTTTCTATTTTCATACACAGTGTTTGCTTTTCTAGTCTCTATGAGGCAGCAACAATCTCTCAGTGGTTGTCATCATTCTCCCTGAATTCTAGATAACAAGATAAAGAATTTCTAGTTTGCCTCTCTACAGTTGTGATCAGATTTGTGGAAAGAAGAATAGGTAAAATATCTTGAGGTCCCATTTCTGATCTTGAAATTCTCCCAGCACATCTCTCTTCTTAGGAGCATGGGAGAATAGCTCCTTCAAAGATTTTATCAGTTACAAATTAAAATTCAAAGCTGTCAGTGATACATTGCAGAAAACGATGTGATATCGAAGCTAAGGATGAGTAAGGGTCATAAATTCTTGCTGGTTTTAGAACAGAGGATCCAGTGTGCTGAAATATTTCTTGCAGATGAAGGAAAATTTTAGGAAGGTAATATTTCATCTGTATTATTACAGTGACTCCAGACTAGAACCATGTGTGAGGAAAAAGTATTGGTGAACCATTAGTGCTAATTCATTTGCACCCTCATAGCTGCTGGGAAATGTGGCATTATTTAAGGTATTGTAACCCTTGCACTGAATTCACTCAAGTTATTTCCAGCTGTCCTAGCTCAGAGCTAGGATCCCCCTGAGCCACTGGCCCCTGCTGGTTACTCTTCTGGCAGTTTGGCTGTGCCAGCTCAAGTACACTTGTTATTGCAGGTGTTGCTCGTGCTTTAGATGCCATTTCACATTACAGGCACGAGAAGCAAATGAACATACTCAATTAAAAAACCCAAACCCAAATCAAAAGATGAACCACCCAGCCCTTCAGCTGTGGTGAACACAACTGCAGTCAGTGTTAGATGTGTGTCAAACTGAGCAAAAAAAAAGGATCTTGCCTTCCATCCTTCTGGTACACTGATGCTTAATATGAGCCTCTAATTGCTCCATTGGCTAGAAATCTTTTAGCTTCTGTGACACTTTTTTGCCTGTGCCAAGGCATCTTTTAACTTAGAAACCTCTCTTCTCACTGTGCAAAGACAATAACTGCTTTTCTCAGCTGTTACTTTGCCAAATTTCCTATGTCCTGCTCTCATGGGGTCTTAAAATAACATAAGCTTTACATTCCTCTGGGCTCCCTAATAGCCATTTGCTGATTTTGGGCCAAACTGGAGGGACCTTTCAAGAACTTGGTACCCAGACTGGGACATGAGTGCCAGTGAGGTTTTACTAATGCCTCAGCAGCATTCAGACCTTGTAGTGGAATATTTCATGTCACCTTTAGTAACATATAAATGATGGAACTTCTATTACATGGAGAAATGGAATTGTAGGATTTGCTTCAATTTGCAAGTAAATGACCTCTCAAGATGTAGGTGCTTCCATTTTTCCTGCACATACTTTTCTTGACTCTTTTTCACCACTTGCTCTCAAGATTAGGCTACCCTCAAAAGTGTTTGTCACCACTGCTATCATTTGATTAAGCCACAACACTTCAGTGCTCAGTTTCTCATGACTCAACTATTCCTCTGTCTTTGCACTTACTGGGACCACTTTTCCTCCATCTAATTCAGACCTGAGCAGGAGCCCAGCAACCACTGCATAATGAAGAATTACTGTGGTATCTCTTTGACCTTTTCCTGTTCATAAAACATTTTTCAAATGAATAATTTTGATTCATACTCTGTAAATTCAGAGAACTAAAACTGGGCACTGTGGAATGACATCATTTATACAGTTTTTCTGTTAGGAGGAAGAAAAAAACCCACACCAAACCACCATGTCTCAGATCACATTGTTCTTTCATCTGAGAGTTTTATAACTATCTCAACTCCTCTTCCCCTGTTTGAAGGAAAGGGATACAATGTGGTACAATTAGCAGAATCCATTTCAGTCCAAACTCACAGCACATGTGAGATGGCTCAGAGTTAACAACTGTGAGAATGGTCACATACAGCATCAACATCAGCCTAGGCACATGAATCACATCGATAATAAATTTAGATTAAAATAAGACTGTTATGAATCCATTGTCCAAGTTGTGACCTGAAAGCCCTGGGATAATTAAGGCAGTTTGATGGAATGTGCTGAAGGTCTTTATTAAGAGCCTCTTTGGTGTTCCAGTTGTTTTGCTCCGGGAGGTGCTGGTGCATTACAATCCCAGTAAGGCACTTGGGCTGTGAGGTGTCATTTGAAATGCTGTTTGTCAGCCCTGATTGACGTGGTGAGGGGAACACAGTGTAAATAACTTTGCATCCCTTTTGGTGCTGGGAGCCCCACATGGGCAGCACCAAACTGGCCTCCCATCCACACATGCCGCGCGCCGGTACGAGTGGCTCCGGGGAGGATCAGCCTGAAGGCAGCTTCAGAGTCTAGGGAAGTGCTACTAAATTCATTAGCAAAGAAAGTAAAGAAAGAATGGTGTTGTCTACAGCCAGAATTGCTTGCCTAGACCACCTGTGCCACTACTGTGCCAGTGGCTTTTTTTCTTGGATTGTGAATGTTGGTTTCAATGGTTTTTTAATCACTACATAATGTATCAAATCAGTTGAAGATCTCTAGGGATATTCTTTGCTTTCCATTAGGTAAAACAGCACTGCATCTTTTGGATGCAGGTCAGTTGTGATCCTGCTCCTAGGGAAAGGCCTTGTTTCCACCCCACTGGCTGCACAGTGTGGATGGGAAAGAACCTCTCAGTGTTTGCTGTGATTTCTGGCTTAGGACACGAGGCCTTAAGCTAATAACCATCAGTTGCCTGTGGGATGAGCAAACCCAGAAGGTTAGTAGTTGTCCTTCTGTTGCAGCCTGGTGTTTGGGGTCACAAGTGAGCAAGTGTTGCTGTACCAGATGCTTCTGAGCAATATGTACAAGGTTCCTTACGGAATGTCCTCTCTACACAGTGCATTTCTTCCCAGTATCTGTTGATGCTTGACTTGGGTATGCCATAAGGCTTTAATCTGTCCCCTGTAAACCTTGCTCTTTGTGTTGTGGGGTCCCTGCCTCGACTGCATCACCTGGTAGTGATTTATGGGGGAGTTACACAAAGATGAGCTATGTGGCCAGACCACAGGGACATTTAGGCCAGTACCTGTTGCTGACAGTAGTTAGGAGTGAATACTCACAGAATTGGGTGAGATAATGACATGATAGTCCCACAATATGAGTCTCAGCCTGCAGCAGCCGCTCCAGATTTTACTCAACTAAACATATTTTTGATACACTTGAGACATGAACTAGTCCTTGATATCTCTCCATTAATTTGCCCAGTAACTTCTTTAACCCCTGTAAGCTTTTATCTAAGCATTCTGTAACAAACTTAACAACCCAGTGGTAAGAGCAATTTCCTCTGTTTTGAACTCAGGGTTGTTACTTTTAATGACCTCTTGGGTTTGTAAAAGAGGCAAGAATACCTATATTCATTAAAATCCTTGTTGTCCTCTCTGTGTCTTCCTGCCTGCCTTGGTGTGGGCAGTGGGGAGGAAAGCTGCACCATACAGGGGAGTAAAGCTGTGGGTGTGTCACAGAGTTGTACAACTGCATAATCACCTTGCAGAAGAATTCCCCTATTGCATGCAGAGCATTTGCTTTTCAGAATGCTCCTGGCATTGAACCAGCATTTTTACAGAGTAGTTTTAACCTCAGTCTCGTTCTTGAGTGGCAATTTCCCAGCCTTTGGTGCACGTCATCGTTAGCATTCCTAAAACAGTACATATTTCTTCCCTAATGCTGTGTAAGGAAGATAATAAATGTGACTTGCCTGACAATATTATTATAGAAAAGATAGAATTATTCTTGTTGCTGCCTGAAGTGGCTGGGACACTGTATTGATACCCTATATGCCTTTCTCTTGAGTTTTTCTGGCCAGGAGGATAAAACTACAGTGTAATTAAGGAAAGAAAAAAGAGGAAGAATCTAATTCCAGGAAATAAACCCCATCTTGACATAATTAGTTCTGATGCTTAAAGGGATTACAGTTGTATTTGACTAATTAAAATTTGACTAATGAAAATTAAATAAACAACGAGTGTTCCAGCTTTCTAAACACCCATGAGACACCACTATTTAAATACTGATTTGGGTAGTTCTTACAGGAATGCTGAGTAAGGAAGAAACAAAGACATATTTTAGTACATTTTCTGTAGTGTGCTGAGTCTCTGAGAACATTACACATAGCCAGGAGGGCAAGCAAGTCTTTGTCCTAACTGTGCCAAAGTACAGAAAACATTTTAGATTACACAAGGTTTATATTAATATACACTAATCATATTAGTTATTTTTACACTGTTCACTCTAATCTTCCTTGTTTACTCTTAACTTTCTCCAAGTCTAAAGATGAACTTGTTTACTTAACCAAACATATTGTATGGTCCTGAAGAACAGAATCCTCCCACCACTCCTTTAAACATGCATCAAGTTTCTTCAGCAAAGTCAACAGGTAAAGTATTTTAGTAATTAAACAGAATTGGTGCTTTTTCTCACTTCTGGCAAGTTTTGGATTTGAAGCTATCGACCACAGTTCCACTGGAGCAAAAGTTTACATAAAACCATATACAAAATCACAGGTGGCTGTTGACAGTGTGGTTGGTGGGAATGGATCTTTGCTTTCTTAGTATGCAATTCTGAACACAGTTTCATATCATGAGAGAGTGAAGGTAATGCCAGCACAGCACACAGCCTAGAAATACCTCTCTGAAACACTGTAGGGTCTGTTGCTTGTTTGTCACATTTAAACTTTACAGCTGTGGTAGCACCAGAGGGACTTGCCATCCCCTTTAGATCCCTTTGTTCTGTCAGAGCAATGAAAAGCACCTTTAGAACAAACTCTTACCAGGCCTTCAGGTCCAGCCTGATACCTGCAGAGCAGTACTTGCCCTCCAGGGACTCCACATTCAGAAAAATGTGGTTAGAAACACTATTTTTATTTTTTAAAAAAATTAAAATCTGTGTTTGTTAAATGTATTGAAATCAGTGAGTATTTTATAATACACTCTGATTTTCCCGTTCCCACTGATACAGAAGATCTGTGGGTCAAGCTGAGTAAATTCTGGATGGAACACAAAGACCCTGCAGATTATACACAAAATAAAGCACCATATATAAACACTGCCATGTCTCTGTGTGTATGTTTATATTGCCCACACCACTGACAACGCGGGCATTTCCTTAAAAAGAAATCATAAACTCCTAGGAATTGAAGTCATTATTCCAGACATTAAGGAATGTGTTTCAAACTCTTGCTAAGGCAAGGACAACAATGTTAAATAAAGAGTGAATTTGGGGAATTTTAGGTTGATTTTGAGCTTCCAACTATTCCAGAAAGCTTCCCAAGAGGACTGAACTCTGCAGCCTGATCCCACTGCAGTGAAAGGCAAGGCCACCTTAATGCACAATTTGAATACTCCTCAGTGAAGTGTTATTGGTTCCTGAGACATTCATTTTGAATCAGCAATTGCTGAAATGCTTTATTGCTTGTTCATTTCAGTGTCCAGACCAGTCATGCAAACAGGATTTATTGGCTTACCTAGAACAGATCAAGCTCTACTCTCACCAGCTCAAAATCTGCAGTCAAGTTAAAGCAGAGATCCAGAGTCTTGGAGGAGAGCTCATCATGTCTGCTGTAAGTAGAAAAAAATGGCATAAATGTCTCTGTTGATCAAAATAAATGTTACATTTAAGTTGGGCCTTCCCTGTGCTTGCCAGAGGTTCATGTTGCCCTGAATTTCACTGTATTCCCCACCAACACAGGCAATCTAAGACAGTGAAGCAGAAGACTTGTGGCTTAAAAGGAATAGCAATCACCTGGTTGGTTTTTCCTTTTAAATTCTCAAAGCACATTATGTGCTGTCACTGTTTTTCCAAAGGGGTTTTGTGTTAAGAACTGTAACCCACTTGAAGATGTGGTTCAGTTACTTACACATCTGGAGGATGCTCCTGTGTGTGTTTGGACACCAAAAGAAATGCCCAGAGATGTGCTGAAGGCTATTCTACATATCTACAGAAATAAAGTTAAGAGCAGGTGCCTTGAGCCTGGAGGGAATGTCTTGATTTAAAAGTTATCTCTGTTACAGCCAAGTATCGTTATAGATTGTTTATGATTTTGTGGAACTTTAAGTATTTGTCCTCAGCACAGGTCTGATCACAGCCATCCATAAAATGCCTTCACATGTTCTTTGATTATTGGTGTTATGTGATTATGATTTCAAGGTGTAAATCTGCTAAGTGGTACAAAAACCTAGTAACAAAACCTACTCATTCTTACCATATAAATGCTTTGCTGTTTAAGAGACCTTCACATTCCCATAGTCTGGAATATATGTGTGTGTGTGTTTATATATATGTCTCACGAAAACTGCATTTTATATGGTTTATAAACTACTCAGAAATAAAGCTCTGTTGCTGATGTGAGATTTGAAACACTTTTTTGCAAGATATTTTGGTTGGCTATTGAAATGATAATTCAGAGACCACATTTAAACCTCTGGAACCTACAGATAAGTAATTTCGAGTTGAATGTATCATTTCTAAAGGAAATACTGGTTTTCCCTTGGGTTGTGCATTACTCCAGCTGATCTTCATTATCTGTTTCTTTTGACAAGCAGTTCTGTGAGCAGTGTGGGTTCTCATACAGCCAGATGACATCAGTTCAGGCCCTTTGTGCACATGTTCTCTGCTGTCAATGCTTTCAGTTTCACACACACCAGAAATTCCAGGTCTCTCTCTGTGTTTAGAGGCTTATTTCAGTACTTCAGCTCTCCTGGTTGCACATAACAATGTATATCTGCTTGGAATTGTCCACTATTTTGGCAAACCTAGATTCCATGGATCCCTGACACCCAAAAATCTGCATCCCACATACTGCCCACACAGTCTGTAATTCTCCTGCTTCTGTTTTCCTGACCGAGCTCAGCTGATAGGTGGACTCACTGCAGGAGGCTTTGGAAACCTGGTTTGGTTCTTGCTCTTTCATGCTGTAACAATACATGGGTTTATTTACCATTTATAGTGTCACACACATGCCAACAGTGGGAACTACATAATCCTGTGGCAAAAATGTTAGTTCTAAAAGTGCAAACCAAAATTGAACTTCATTGATAATCCCAGAGGGATTACCATAGATCTTAATTCTGCTTCAAGGAAGGAAGAAGGGAACATAAATTATGTGCATCCAGAAACTTCAGGAAAGCAATTGCTTATTCAAATTAATGCTTAACTCAGGCCCAGTTCAATAAACAGTTTCACAGGTGCTTAGTTTGGACTCAGCAGAAATGAAGAACATGCTAAGAGTCCTGAGTGGTTTGGGGAGTGGTTTGTGAAGTCAAGGCTGCTGCTCTGTTAAAGCAATCTTGAAAAAATGCTCCAACAGTGATTGTACTTTTATTTTTTTTACAATATGGGTGATAGGTTTAGGCTTATAAAAGAGAAAAACTGCCAACCAGTGCTTCAGGAGACATCTGCTCACAGCCAAAGCCTTGCAAAGCCAGTGGAGATGTAGCTGACTGGTGTCAGGGGTTATGAAAAGAAAATACTAGAAAACTGAAAGGAGTCTCCCTGGTCTCTGTTGGAAGGGGAAGGCACTGGCTGTGCTCAGCTGTCCCCTGCAGTTAAAGTTGTGGCTATGTGAAAATGCAACCCAGCCAAGCAGTGATGGCTTTCTGTAAGACTTTCTGTTTGACTTGCTTCAGTGTTAGGAGAATATGTAAATTTATGTTGTATGGATAAATTGCTAAGCAGAGAGGAGAGAAATTAGCTGCTGACACAAAGTGGCTGTTTGCTGAACTGCTTTTCTTAAAAGCTGGAGCCAATTCCAGCTTTGGAAGTCCAGTGGGGGCTTTAGAGTTTGATCATGTTAGCTGGCCATGAAAAAAGTGAAAAAGTTCTGTGTGAGAAAGCAGAGGTATTCTCCTCCTCCTTCCTCTCCCCCAAGAAGATAGTAAGGAAGAAACTATGAGAAAATGTGTGAATAGCTGGAATAGGATTATATTCTCCCCAGCCCTGCTCTTCTCTCACTCTTAGAACCATAGCTGGAATAGGATTATCTTCTCCCCAGCCCTGCTCTTCTCTCACTTACCTGTTTATACTAATAAAGAATGAGAGTCAGAAAAGGAGACATCAGATATGATTAAGAAAAAAGAGGACATGTAAAGGACATGTAAAGGTTTTGTTGGGCATTAAGTAAAAACCTCCAAATAACATGAAACTGTATCCATCCTCTGGACAGCAGAGATCTGCTACAGGACAAAAAATCCACTAGAAAGCACCTTGGAAAATAATCACACTTACAGGCTTCATTTTTAGCTTCCAGCTTCCCTGCATCAATGTACATGTGTGCCCAAGAAGGAATTCCTTGATCCTGGGTCATCCTCAGCTGTCTCTTGTTGGCTCCTTGCAGTTCCCTTTCATTATCTCCCATCTCCATCAGGAGCTGTGACAGGTGTATGTAACCAGAAGAGCTGAGAGGGAAAGCTCTTCTCCTGTGAGAAATGACAGAGTTCCACATTCAGGTGGTTAATATCAACTTCCACACTGGCAATTCAACTTCCACACACAAAGTAAGAATGTTTGAGTACAAGCTGGTGATACCCACACATAAAAGCACTCTTGTAAGTGCTTTACATTCACCCCACACTTCCCTTCCTCCAGCCATAAGAACTGTACACAGGGATATTGGATTTTAATCAGCCTCCAGGCATTTAAATCTTCTCACAAGAAGAGTACCAGTTCATTTTAAAACCCCCACACCCTCTATTGAAGCCTACAGACTAATTCAGAGGAAAGAATTGAGGGATGAAGATCAGAGGTTATAGTACCACGTTTGTAGGTCTGTAACCTGTCTTCCTGAAATAGAGTTAAGTAAGTCATAGCATCTTTCTTAGCAGTAACTTCTTGTGGCTGATGCTAGAGCAAGTAAAGCAGACCTGAACTGGGGTTGCAGACTAACCTGATGGAGTACATGAACACTGGTCAGCCATGCTGTGCTCCAAGGGGCTGTATCCTTCTCCACAGCAAAATCCATTCTCACCTCCATAAGCACTGTGCCAGAGCAGGTGCTGCTGACTGCCACCACAGCTCAGGGTGGGACTTACTCCATGACGCTGAAGAGCATTAGGCATATGAAAAACTGTGTTGAATGAAATAAACACAGCTCACAGTCAATAATTCTCTATACCATGTCATTTTCTTCAGCTGTTTTTAATCTGTGTCCCCATACCATTGTCTTCCCTGCAACACTCCTCTGACAACCTCCTCTGGATGTTTTCTTACCTAAAATTAATACCTGTTGTGGTTTAACCCCAGCCAGCAACCAAACCCCACACAGCTGCTCCCACACTCCCACACCAGTGGGATAGGGAAGTGAATCAGAAGGGTAAAAACTAGAAAAACTCATGGGTTGAGATAAAGAGAGAGAAAGCAAAAGCTGCACACACAAGCAAAGCAAAACAAGGAATTAATTCACTGCTTCCCACAGACAGGAGGTGTTTAGCATCTCCAGGAGAGCAGGGCCCATCACGTGTAACGGTTCCTTGGGAAGACAAACACCATCACTCCAGAGGACCCTTCATCCTTCTTCCTCCCACCTTATACACTGAGCATGATGTGCTATGGTATGGAATATCCCTTTGGTCAGTTTGGGTCACCTGTCCCAGCTGTGTCTCCTCCCAATCTCCCATGCACCCCCAACTCCCTTGCCAGTGTGGCAGTACAGAAAGCAGCAAAGGCCTTGGCTCTGTGTGAGCTCTGCTCAGCAATAACAAAAACATCTCTGCATTATCAACTCTGTGTTCAGCACAAATCCTAAACATAGCCCCATACTAGGCACTGGGAAGAAAGTTAACTCTACCCCAGCCAAAAACCAGCACTAGCATGGGTTAAACAGGCCAGTTTGCCAGGGCCAGTTGAGGTGCTTTGGGGAGCATCTGGCTGTTAGTTCTCCTAACTGCTCCCCTCAAAAAGTGGCTTTTTGACTTCAGGCCATATAATCTTGTAGTCTGCCTCTCCCAATGTCCTCTCCTGAGTATGGATGTACCTTCATTCTGGTCAGAGCCCCAGTGACTGGGCTTATAAAGGGTCGTGTACAGAAAAAAAGAGGGAGATGTGGATCATTAGCTTCTAACTCTCCATTAGCTGCAGTTTTGTTACTCTCATTCATTTAACATTCCTTGATCACTATTTAGTCTTTCATGCTCTCACTTTCCAGTAATGCAGCCTGCACTGCCAGTCTGTAAGCTGTGCAAGTGAAAAGGGTGAGGATCCACTAAGTCTTCATTAGGAGGGATTAAACAGGAAATGCACATTTCCTTCTATTAATTAGGAAAAATTTGTGCCTCTTCACACACAAAATAATGGGGTAACATTTGCAGTATGCAAATTGGCAGCAATTCCATTCATTGATGTTGATAAGCTGGTAATTCATTCATGAGTACTGCATAGTGATACACTTCACTTTACCTCACCAGTTTGCTTTTTTTTTCCCCCAACAATAGCTTTAAGTGAAGAGAATTATTTCATAGGGCAGAAAATGAGCATATCTTATATGTTACTATCATACTCTCTGACTTTTGCCAGCAGTTCTGGTTTGTGCTGCTCGTAGTCATTATTGCCTTATATTTCATTTCATAT